TTACGTTTCTGTTAAAATGTTTCGTGACAAATCTGTCACATTCCACGTCTAATTTTATGCGTAATGCTGTTCATTTTCTTTTTAAATTTTATTTATTTATTATATACAATTTTTTTATTTCCTGAACTCAGTAGGAGTTATCTACTGTTATCTAAAGTTATCTAAACCACAGTTTCAGCTGAGTCACACTACTCTCTCAATTATTAAACTATTTCGCTGGTACAACTAACATGACACTGAGCTAAAATTTACATGATTACAATCCATGACTCAGGTGTGATCATGAAAAGATTCAAAAAAAAGGTGATTATTATTGTTTTTCTGTGAATTTTCAGACACAGCTACATCTAGAAATGAAACAGTTACAGTTTATTAATCAGACAGGGAAAACCTAAGTCTAATCTAATCTTTGTTTTATTCACAAATTGTGTTTAAAAAAAAAATCAGTAAATCCAATTTTAAAATCTAGATTTTCTCACTCATTTAAACATGTTTGAAATCTTTGTTAATACCCGTTCTCCAAAAGTTTGACTGTGACTTTAGGCAGCATCTTTACAGGTGATAGTAAACACATTTATAAAAGTGATTCATCGGATTTCTCTCCTTTACTTCAGACCCATGGCAACGCTCTATTCCTCATCCTTGTTTTGGGATTAGGAGGAAGCTTTCAGGTCGGCTTCCATGTCACTGGACTGAGTTCTCCTTCGCCGGTGAGACACGTTGCCTTTATCATTTCTTCTCCATTCTGTCTCGATTATCTGGATCACATTTAATAACAGTTTAGATCTATCTCCACAGTACATCCAGCGCTTCATCAACAGCAGCTGGTATGATAGATACGGAGAGCCTCCACATCCGCAGACGGTCACAATGATCTGGTCTCTTATTGTTTCCATGTTTGCTGTCGGGGGACTCTTAGGTGCCATCAGTGTCAAATTTATGTCAGACTTGCTGGGAAGGTGAGTATGAAGACAGATGTTGTACCAAGCTGTATAGCCTCAGGAGACTTGAAGTCATGAGTTTTCCTTCTTCAGAAAAAAGGCAATGATCTGCAACAGCTTCATTGCTGTTCTTGCAGCAGGATTCATGCTGGCAAGTAAAAATGTCAACTCTTTCGAAATGATCATTGTGGCAAGATTTCTGTTTGGTTACTCAGCAGGTAAGTTGCCATGTTCTACAGACTCCTTATTAATATGTTTTCACCACCTATACTCACCATGCTTGCCTTATGTGACCTGCAGGCTTGGGAATGAACGCTCACTTAATATATCT